TGAGACGTTGATTTTCCTTGTCTCTCGCACGCATACTAGACGCAGAGTGTAGTAGATCTGTTTGAAGCGCTGTCTTGGAAGCGCCTGGATAGGAAGACGCTGGTGGACAGGGCTCGGTTAGTGGTGGCGGAGAAGGAGTTGGAGGTAGTCAAGGCTGTAGAGGAGAAGAAGAGAGTACTGGCGGAGAAGGAGTTGGCGTCTGTCAAGGCTGTAGAGGAGAAGCAGTTGGAGTTTGTCAAGGCTGTAGAGGAGAAGAAGAGAGTACTGGCGGAGAAAGAGATGGAGGTATTCAAGGCTCGGGCGGAGAACGAAATGGAGGTGGTCAAGGCTCAGGCAGAAGCACGCGTGCTTCAGGCAGACGCACGTAATGCTTGGGGAGAAGCACGCGTGCTTCGGGCAGAGGCTCGGGCGACGAAGGCAGAGCTTGAAACCGCGACTGGTCATCTCAAGGCGAAGAATCTAGAGATATTGCGGTTGGGACACAGCGTCAACCTCCGCCGCGCCATTGGTAAGTGTATCGAGGGGATGGCTAGAGGGCGTGCATGTCCACCCTTGGAGCTCTTGTCAGGGTGCTTATTTGTCTTGGCATAACACGACCCTACACGTCTCTTGTAGAGGCTTTCCAGGAAGAAGAGGTTTTGCCTCGTCTAGGCCTCAAGCCCACGAGCAGGGTGACAGTAGGAATGTGGGAGAGATTCATGCAGGCGAGGCCGGACATGCGAAGGCGTGTGGAGCGGCAGACACCGTGGCGAAAGAGCAAGGTTGCGGCAGAGATGGGTCACATTTACACGACTCTGTCTGGGCGCATCCACTCTTCGCATCAGGTTGGCGACGCTGCCGTGGTGATTGGGATGGATGTACTCACGACGGAAGAGTGTCTCGGTGTGGGAGCCCTCTTGTATGACTTTGTGCCCATCGAGTTCCACCCGCCGGAGCTCATGGAAAAGTTTGAGAAAAATGAGCGGGAAGGTACTGCTGAGGACGTTGAGGACAAGGCAGGAAAGGGAGAAGGGGAAAGACAGTAGGCCTTGTAGACTTTGCCGTTGTACAGAGAGTGGAAGCAATAAGGGGGTAAAAGACTTCATATGTGCACAAAGAAAAAGTCCATGTATGTTTCACGTTTCTAGGTCACGCTGGCCTCTTATGTCCTTTGTTGACTCCTAATGCTCCCACACCGTGACGTACAAGCGGTGACTGCACGCATCGATCCCGCCGGCGTCTCTTCCATCCCTCCCTGTCTCACCCTCCTAACGCGCAGAAACACGTGCGTCAGCCGGGGAGACACGGCCTGTTCGAGCCCATACATCTCCGTGGCAAAGCATAGCAAGGCATGCAGCGGTCCTCAGCGAGCTCGCTCCGACTGTGAATCTCCTCCATCAAGTCTTTCCGCCACCGGTTGTCGTCAGACCTGTAGTCCCAAGCCCCCGCATCTCCCAAGGTCCTTCCCCTCCAACCCCGAGACAACACCATGCACGTCCCTTCAGGCCTCGTCCCTATCCCCACCCGGTGGTCTCGTAAGAAATGCCGCGCGAGGCCGGGGGACGACGAGGACAACGAGGAGGATGACGAGGAGGGGCAAGGGGCACAGGAGGCGGCATGTCCGAGGCCATACTGTTCGTCACAGGGATGGAGAGCGCTAAAGCACCCTAGGAAACTGTCCAGG